TCTTCTTGACCTGCTGTCTTACCTCCATAGCTGCAGAGATGCCTTGAGCGACCTCCTTTCTTATCTAAGCCAGTATGTCTGGAGATTGGGCTAATGTAGTGGAGGAAGAAGCGGCAATCTTCTGGAGACAATCCATACAAAGCTGTTTCCCCTCAACCGCCTTTCCTTCACAGCCGGAACAGGGGGTAGCTTTCTCGCTTCTTTTTCTGGGAGGAGATGACATGATACGTTCCTCATTACTGGAAAGTAATTGGAGAATAGTCTCAAATATCATGTAAATATGAGATGAAAATAAACAAAAAAGTACCTTCATACATACCTAGAAGGAGCAGTAGGTAAGTGTAGCCTAGTTGGTGGAGCCATTATGGGCTAAAAAAGAAATAAATAGATACATTCTAGGACCCCCTAAGAAGTGCTTTAAAAAATTAATATATATTACAAAATAAACTTGTGGCAAAGATCTTTAGAGAGTACTGGCACTTTAAGAAACTTCCAAAAATACACCAAACTACTTTCAGAAACACAATGAGGCAAGAATAGGCACAAAGGCACTTACCTTAAGCCCTTCTGGGCCTTAAATACCTTAATTTCATGTCTTGCAGTCGGTTAGGGCCATTTTCTGTTTTTGCCCACACTTAAAATGGCCGCCGCAATGTGCTATTCCCTTAGTTCGCGTCATTGGTTTCAACCTCAAATTAGCGCTATTGCACATGCACGAGCGTCTTTAGAATACCGCAAGCCTGTAAAACCTGAATACCGAGTTTAAAACACTCAGATTGAGAAGAGGAGGCATGGGGTAGCTACCAGGAATCAAGGTAAACACACAGGGGCCATGGAAACAGAATGCACTAATGGGGAATGATCCCCAGGTAAGTATAGGAATCTTCTGAAGTCCCAGAGATCCAAGGTAATTCAATCGTCAAAGTAAACTTTAAAGGAACAGATCCAGTACGCTATACAAGCACTATTTAAAGGGACTTTCCAGTGCCAGGAAAACAAACCGTTTTCCTGGCACTGCAGGTCCCCTCTCCCTCCCACCCCACCCCCCCATCCCAAGTTGCTGAAGAGGTTAAAACCCCATTCAGTGACTTACCTGTATCCAGCGCCGATGTCCCTCGGTGCTGGGTTAGGGTCCACCCGCGCTCCTCCCCCACCGACATCAGCCAATGGGGGGAGACCTACTGTGCATGCGCGGCCGGCGGCGGGGGAGACATAATGCGCATGCGTATTAGACCTCCCCATAGGAAAGCATTGTCCTCTAGTGGCTGTCTACTAGACTGCCATTAGAGGAGGACTTAACCCTGCATGGTAAATACTGCAGTTTAAGAAAACTGCAATAATTACACTTGCAGGGTTCAAGGTAGTGGGAGTTGGCACCCAGACTACTCCAATGGGCAGAATGGTTCTGGGTGCCTGGAGTGTCCCTTTAGAGAGATATCATGCTGAAATAAACAAACATAAAACTGAAAGAAATAGTACTTATCTTTGTATGGAGCTCCCAGCTCCCTATCTAACAGCAGTAGGACAGGAAAAAGACTGGGGTTCCTAGGAAGGAGTCCTCCTTTAAAGGCTTGAGTGTTTTCCTGTCCTTCTACATATATGTATCTATATCTATCTGTCTATCTATCTATAGCTATATATAAATAAAAATTATTTTAATATATATATATATATATATATATATACACACATATACATTTAAAATCTACAAATATATTTATATAATAGGTTTACATAATAAGTCATTTTATCAATTACAATTTGAGGGACCTGCCTGACAACCCAGACTGAAAGTACAGAGAATTTGATTCGCAAGCCCTATATTTAACCCTGTAACTTTCCAGGACACCGTAAAACCTGTACATGTGGGGTACTGTTTTACTCGGGAGACTTCGCTGAACACAAATATTAGTGTTTCAAAACAGTCAAACAT